CATATGTACCCTAGAAAGAGGAATCCTAAAACGCCGCACAGGACCGCCGCCGAGTTAGGAAAACAATTTCGGCGAGATAAACCGACACCGGATCTTGACGAGACAACCACAAGCAGGGCGGACAAACAAGCTAATCGAGCAACCTTCGCGACAACAATGAAGACTTGAGTGAGAGTACTCACCAATCTTAACGTCGACATCTACTTGCCGAGAGATGTCGTCGGGAGTAAAGCGGAGCAACTCTTATACCAGAGGCCAACATCATCGAAGGAAGACGAGAAGCCTGCTTCCACGCCCAAAACCCGCCGCGAAGAGAGAGCCAAAGCAGATCGAAGCAACAACCTAAGCCGACAACAGATCTTAGCAAGCCACAAGTCAAGAAAGAGAAGAAAAGCTATACCAACATCTCTGGAGTCAGATCGACGGCGGGAGAGAAAAACCATCTCTGGAGACTTCACTTCCATTTTTGTGGCCTTCGACTCTTCATCCGTGGTGACGGATCCAGATCCAGTTTGCTTTTGGCTCTTTTTCTCCGGCGATATTCTTTGCGGCCTGCTGTTCCTTTGGCGGTGGTTCTATGGTGGCTTTTGGTGTTCTCCTAGAGATCTCGTGGTTCCTCTGTTTCGTTGCAAGTGGTTGCTCTGGTTCGATTGCGAAGTGGAGGTGGACTTGGTGTTGATGGTGCGGTTTGTCGGTGGGTGGTCCTTTGGCTAGGGATTTCGTCGGATGTCGCTTCTGGGATATGAAAATCATAAAAGTTTGATCTTGACGTAATTAGTTTCGGTCAATTATTTGGAATATGATTCAAAGGCTACTCGATTGATATCCATTGTCATTGCTTTGTTGAATGCTACTCGAATTGCGAGATCCTATACTACTAAAACTGAGTTAACAAATGCTATAGGTTGTGAGTGAGATGATATCGATTTACCAGTTTATCGAGAAAAAATCCATCATTTTCGTGTTACCTTAATGTTGCATCTCTAAGTAGCACATGCTCTACAAGATTACAAATGACTTTGGTGTTTTGATTTGATATGTGAGAGACAGGGTGCCTCGACGTACTTAGTCTTTTGGGATTTGGTTACTTGAGCTTCTAACCATTGCTCAACACTTAGGATTGCTTTTAGATTGTCTCCTCCACCGTAAGCACCAAACATTTGAAATACAATTATTTATTGTCCATCAGGAAAAATTAAGATGAAAAATCCCCGGATATTGGGTTAGTATACTATTAGAAAAAGTGCCTTAGTTTTATTTTGTGTATTTGAACTAGAGAGTTCAAAATAACTACTAGTATTTGTGGAATTTTTGGTCCTCTGCGCCATATGGTGGAATGTATTTTTAAGAGTGCCATAGGGTGGAATGTATTTTTAAGAAGTGATATTTTTGCAAAGAATTCATATAATATAACAATTGATACCAAAATTTAAAAATTCAGCCAAATATAAAGATCATATGATTGAAATTCTAAAATCAATATCACAATTTTTGTTTTCATATTCTCAACTCGAACAAGCAAACCACCTCAAACTCTATGTCATTGAAAGAAAAAAAATCAAACCCAAGTCTCTTGAGATTGATCACCTTCAATGAGAATTTTGCTAAATTGACTCACATTGAATTAGTGTTTTGCACAATAACATTTGTTTTTTTTGTACCAACTTTTTACTATATTACCCTTTGATTAATATTGGAAAATACAAAAAAATAGTTTTTATAATTTTATAAAATCATGAAAATAAAAAATAGTAATGTACAAGGCATATAGATTCATGTTTATATTTTTTTCAAAAAAAACTATGACAGAAAATTATTTATTTTTCCTTCTACCATGGTCGAATCTACTAGTAGATTAGGTGTTTAGCGAATTTGTATCATTCTACGAGTGATAGAAATAAGTATTTTACTAATTGCACAAGTTCTACATATCGCAGATTGCATATTCCACCATTTTGTTTTAGTACTACTAATCGCAGAATGCTATTTCTACCAATGTTTTTGTCGTCTACGCTACGCAAAATGTATATGCTACCCCT